GTAACAATTAAAGATATTTTTTTAAAGAACAGTAGTTTGCCTAAGTGAAATCCGTCCCACACCTCCCAACCGGGAAACCCGATTCGCAGCCCCGTCTTCTCCCACAAGTCTCTTCGTGACCTTAGGCGGTCATGTGTGGCATAGTTATCTGGTGCTAAAAACGAGTCGCGTAATGGCTGATTTTGGGGCGTTAACTCCTCGAATTCAAGTTTCTTAATGGATCGACTAAGTTTGCCTAAATGAAATCCGACTTCTCTATACTCCAAACAGGCGTGAACCTCTAGTCTTCCGAGCCTCGTCTTCTCCCCCAAAAGTTCTTCTTTGTGCCTAGCGCGGTCCTGTGTGGCCATTTTGTAGGGTGCTACAACCTGACCCGCTTTGTTGATTAAATGGAGGGTTATTAACGCTTCTGAAATATGAAAGTTCTTAAAAAAGTAGTTATTAGCCTAAAAGTGTAAGTCCGAACTCTCACCAACTCCCAACCGGAAAATCCCCGATTCGCCCCCGTCTTCCTCCCACAAGTCTTCTCGTGCTAGGCCGGTGTTGTGTGCCAAGTTTCGTGCTAAACCGATGCTGTTTGGTGATTGGGGCGTTAACGCCTCGAAAAGGTTTCTCTTAAAGGAAAGTAGTTTGGCCTAAAGTGAAATCCGACTCTAACTCCAAAACCGGGACCCGATTCGAGCCCCGTCTTCTCCCCAAGTCTCTCGTGCCTAGGCGGTCGTGTGTGCCAGTTTCGTGCTAAACCGATCAGCCCGTTTGGTGATTTTGGGGCGCGTTACGCCTCGAAAAAGAAGTTTTTAAAGAAGTTAGTTTGCCTAAATGAAATCCGACTCTAACTCCCAACAGGAACCCGAATTCGAGCCCCGTCTGCTCCACAAGTCTCTCGTGCCTAGGCGTCCGTGTGTGCCAACGTTTGTCCTAAACCGACGCCGTTTGGTGAGATTTTGGGGCCGCGTAACGCCTCAAAAAAGAAGTATTTTAAAGAGAATAGTTATGCCTAAAAGTGGAAATCCGGACACAACTCCCAAATCGGAACGCGATTCGAGCCCCTCCTCTTCTCCCACAAATCACTCTTCGTGCGCTAGGCGGTCCCGGGTTGTGTGCCAAGTTCGTGCTAAACCGAAGCGTTTTGGTGATTTTTGGAGCGTTTAACTGCCTCGAATAGTTTTCTTAAGAGAAGTAGTTTTTTGCTCTAAAGTGAAATCCGACTCCTACCTCCCAAAGGCGGGACCCTTATTCGAGCCCCGTCTTCTCCCACAAGTTCTTCGGTGCCTAGGCGGTCTGTGTGCCAAGTTTTCGTGCTAAAACCGACGCCGTTTGGTGATTTTTCTGGGCGTTTAACGCCTCGAAAAGAAAGTTTCTTTAGGACAGTAATTTACTAAAAGTGAAATTCCGCTCTAACTCCCAAACGGCGAACCCGTTCGAGCCTCGTCTTCTCCACAAGTCTCTCGTGGCCTAGTAGCGGTCATGTGTGCCAAGTTTTCGTGCTAAAACCGAACGCCAGTTTAGGTGATTTTGGGGCGTTAACGCCTCGAGGATTAAAGTTTCTTAATAGAAGTAGTTTTGCCTAAAAGTGAAAGTCTCGACTTCTAACTCCTCAAACCGGGAACCCGATTCGAGCCGCCCGTCTTCTCCCACAAGTCTCTCGTGCCTAGGCCGGTTCCCGTGGTGTGGCATGTTTCGGGGCGTTAAACGCGCTCGAAAAAAGAAAGTTTCTTAAAGAAGTAGTTTGCCTAAAGTGAAAATCCGACTCTAAACTCCAACCCGGGAACCTCGATTAGAGCCCCGTCTTCTCCCACAAGTCCTCTCGTGCCTAGGCGCGTCGTGTTGGTGCCAGTTTCGTTGGCTAAACCGACGCCGTTTGGTGATTTTGGGCGTTAACGTCCTCGAATTAAGTTTCTTAAGAAGTAGTTTCCGTAAATGAAAATCCGACTCTAATCCCAAACGGGAACCCGATTCGGCGCCTCGTCTTCTCCCCAAAGTCTCTCGTGCCTAAGGCGGTCGTGGAAGTTTGGGGTGCATGTTCATGCGTACGACGCCGTTGTGATATGCGTTAACTGACTCAGAAATAGAGAAAGTTATCTTAAAGAATGTAGTTTGGCCTAAAGTGAAATCCTAGAACTCTAACTCTTCATAACTACGCGGAGAAGCCCAGATTTCGAGCTTTCCGTCTTCTCTCCACAAGATACTCTCGTCGACCTAGGTCGGTCCGGTGTGTGCGAAGTTTCGGGCTATAACCGACGCCTGTTTGGTTGATTTTGCGGCGCGTTAACTCTCGAAAATAAGTTTCTTAAAGGAAGTAGTTTGCCGCTAAAGTGAAATCCTGACTCTAACTTCCCACACGGGAACCGATTCGAGCCCGTCTTTTCCCTACAAGTCTCTCGTGCCTAGAGCGGTCCGTGTAGTGCCAAGTTTTAATGTCAAACCGACGCCGTTTTGGATGATTTTGGGGCGTTAACGCCTGAATTAAGTAGGCAAATTCATTTAAGCTTAGTTGCCAAATACCAATTTTACCGACTTTCTCAAACCGGGACAAGACGTTGTGCGTCTCCAAGTCCTATGGGGAACACTTCGTGGCCATCGTCTAGACCAACCGTTATAGTGATGGATTCCTCTCAAACTGTTCGTAAGATACGTATGCGAGATGAAATCCCACTCAACTCAACCGACACCAGCCGATACGACTCGCTCATTCAACTTCTCGTCTCGCAGGATCGAATACACAGTGATCATAACGTGCACAAATTTGTTATTGGGCGTACAAAAATACCTTCGAATTTAGACTCAAATACGCAATATTAGTAAATAGCAATACATTATCCTGATTCTACTGGGGAGTGAATATATTGTATTTCTATCTCGAAAAGAATTGCTGTAAAATGTGGTGGCCTACTGAACTAATGGAAAACCTAGTATCTGTCGATAACTGTTGGGCCAATCGCACCCATAAAATGTGATAAACCATATGGAGGATCACTCATCAAACATGCTGCAATGTTTTAAGAACCTCTAAGTTGAGGATCCTCACCCCGCTCCTACCCCTGTCAAAACAGCCATCACTCAGCTTTATCTGCTTCGCTAAAACAAGGATAACCGATTATGACTGCGCCCCCAGCTCCGCCCACATTCTCATGATACACCACAGCTGATCTGCTCGATCTGATTATGCAAACCTTGGACGAGGTGTTGGAACTTGTGGATGAGCCGCAGACCAATCCTTTAATACACCTACTCTCCGAGGCGTTCAACACCGAGTATCTCTCCCGTATTGTCGACATATCCATGTCTGTCCAATGACATATCCAACTCTATGGAACATGTGATGTCTCTGCGTCCCCTGCTACAAAGTCGACCATCCCCTCAGTAAGCATAGAGAAGTTTCGAACGATTAAAACACTCATCCTGTAATTGAATAAGGCACACACACACAAGTTTCTATCGCCAAAATTAAGATGGTTTCTGACACATCAATATACTGATTTTAAAACACACATCAAAGGTCTGTTCTTGGAAACTACCAAGGTCTGGGACTAACCTTGGGTCCTCTACTCTCACGTGGTTCATAACCCAAACATTCAATCTATCAGTAGACCCACACACTTCCCCATTCTGGTCCATCCCACCTAAATTTTTTTAGAAATAGAAAATTAGAATCCATATATAAGTTTTGCAAATATACATGTCTGTTTATATTATATACAAACAAATAAAACAATAAAATGTAAAACCTCTCCGTTATCTGAAGAGAAAGTAAGTACGCCCTCGTGGTATGAGCTATGCCGGTGAGCTTGATCCCGATTCTTAGCTCATCACCAACCCCCCGCGTATCCTCTCTATCCTCGCCCCCCTTCGCTAATTTTCTATAACAAAAGTTTCAACAAATGTAAGTATGATAAACTAGGATTTGCTATGTTACATATCATAAATATATACGTAATATGTATAACCACTCAGTCATCCGGAAGTACGCAAATATCCACAGTCTGTTCCCAATGGCTTGGCACAACGTTCCATCAGGAACATTTATTCCTTTCAGAATGTAGGATCAAGTGCTTTCTAGGCCTTGAAAATACTTTAGCTTTTAAGCTTCGTCTTGTGATCCTTCCAATGTTGGTTTGCAGTTCTTTCATGCAGATCTGGGCTTGTACTCCCACTCTGGATCATATATTTCAAATTCAGTCCTATAAACACACAAGTTTACAGGCCCTAGTAAAGATCCACACAATCTTGAAAATTTCGACCATTTGTGGCAAAAATCAAACTATATTTACCTTTCGCATCCTTCCCCAGATGCTCAACGACTATCATTAGGCCACACACTCGCTCCAGTCAACTAAAAGTAAGAGGAACAATGCTTAACATTCCGGACAAATAATGCCAAGTTGAGTTAGCCTTAACTTGGCCACGTTATCCCTATGTTGGGCGCCGTAATTTCATCAATTCGTAATGTGCACGCTTTTTCACCAGTACTCACTCTTTAATGCCCCTTGGCAACATCTCTCCACGCCCCCTCAGTCCAGACGGTTGATGAACGAACTAGCATGAACTGTCTCGCGATACTAACAATAATAATAAACAACATGCATGGTAACTAAACCACAATGCAAAATTTAATCAAGTGAACATACAATACATCCATTCAAATAACCTGAATGTTTGGGCCGTGTGACGAAGTCGAAGGGTCTGCAACATACAATGAAAACTAAAACATAGTGTATTATATAAATCCAGAGCATCAAATAAATGTATGTGTTGTAAATATTTTTCATGCAGAATCAACAGAAAACTTTAACCATACCTCGCGGGAATGGGCTCATAAGCTTGATGATTGAAATCAGCTGTGCTGTGGACTGACACGATGGTAGGCGCCTGGAGCGCTAGTACATGGTAGCTGCTGTGGGTGGCCCTGATGGTGGTCGAACGGGTGGTATATTGGCCCCTCAGATTGGTGGTGGACTAATGGCCCCTCCGATGTCTGGCCGAACGTGTGATGGCTCCTCTCAATTGGTGGTGCTACTGATGTCACTCGTTATGTAGCACATCAGACAATGCATGGCGCGGCGGGATGAATCAGGCTTTCCTCTTCCATTCCCATAAATAATTCTGGCAAGCAATATAACATTTAATTGACATTAGAAACAAATAGACAATGGTTTGTCATAAACTATAATATCAGATATTTCCTGAGTAGCAGTTGGCTTCTTCTGGAATGCGGGCATATCAAGATTATGACAAATTTTTGTTTTTGTAACCCACGAACGAATGAAGACGAAAACTTTTGGTTTTGATTTTGATTTATGTTATTTAAATTTGTGAGCAACATTTTGTATGTATTATGCGACGTTATGTACTGGCATAATTTTTATTGTTATGAATTTTTATTTATGTATTGCTATGAATGGAACAATATTATTAATTTTCATTATTTGTCAATTTTTGTTTATGTACGTATTTATATTATTCTGTAATTTTTCAATTTTTTATACTTATTTTTTATCTAATACAGGTTATTTTAATTTTTTTAATAATTTATCAGCAGGGTTTTTTTTATTTTTTTTTTTTTTGAGACGGGAGAAGAACCCGTCGCAAAAAACAATAATAGGCTTTTGCGACGGTACCAAAACAGTCGCAAAAGCTGTCCATTTGGAATTTAGAAGATACCTTTAGCGACGGTAACCGTTGCTGTCGCCAATACTTATAAGCTGCCAGAGTTTTAGCGACGGGAACTACGTGCCGTCGCTAAAATAGATTTTTTTTTCCATTATTGGCGACAGGAAAAGTGCCGTCGCAAAAAACACACCTACCGTCGCAGAAACTAATAGCGACGGTACTTACCGTCGCGAAAGCTCTTTTGCAACCCCCCTTGTCGCGACCCCCCACTACCGTCGCAAAAAACCACATTACCGTCGCAAAAAGTATTAGCGACGGCCTACGCGGCATTTGCGACGGCCGTCCCCCGTCGCAAAAAACGAATTTTTTTGTAGTGTTGGTATTAAAGCCAAGCTGGAAATTGCGGCCCTAATTGCCAAGAGGCCAACGTCAAAGCTCTAACTTGAAAAGTCGGGATCCAAGCATCATGCACTTTCAAAGTTAAATTGTTCCCACTTCCATCTAAGTAACTTAATCTTGTGAGATTGGCAAAGTGAAGCTCAGAGACAACACCCTTCATCAAATTATGAGATACATCTAATTAGTTTAACCTCACAAGTTTCCCAAGACTTTCAGGAAGAGTTCCATTCAAATGATTATATGAAAGATCTAAAGTTTCTAACTTTGCAAGTTGCCCGAGACTTTCAGGAAGAAGTCCATTCAAATGATTATAGGAAACATCTAACCATGTCAAGGATGATAATCTCTTAATCGACTTCGGAATGGGACCAAAAATGAAGTTGTTTTGAAGAGAAAGGAAGGACAGATTTTTGAACTGGTCAAGCTCATTTGGAAATTGACCACCATGATAATTGTTCTCTAATGACAATGATTCCAATCCATCTAACATGCATTGGGAGAAAATTTTGAAATCTTCAGCTACCTCTCCACCAAATTTGTTATATGATAAATCAATTCTCTTCAACTTGCATAGTTTTCCCAATGATGTTGCTATTTTCCCCTCAAGTTGATTGTGTGACATGTCAAGGCGAATGAGGGAAGTTAAGTTTCCTATGGCTCCTGAGATTACTCCTTGCAAGTTATTGAAACTGAGAATGACTGACTCGAAGACTAGACAACAACCCATTTGGCAAGGAAGTGAAAAAATTGTAGGACAAATCTAGATCTCTAAGACTACTCATGTTTAGAAGGCCAATTGGAATTTGTCCCTGCAACTCATTGAAGCCTAAGCCTAGAGAAACGAGGTCTCTGAGGTTGAACAACCACTTGGGCAATGATGAATTCAGATTATTTGCCGAAGCATAAAACTCTTTGAGAGAAGTCATGTTTTGAATACCATTGGGAATTGGGCCATGAAAACATGAACTGATATCTAGGGAAACTAGATGATTCAAACTAAAAATCCACTCAGGTGTAGAAGGTCCAAAATAGTTATCTGAAAGGTCAAGGATATGTAGTGATGTAAAGTTAATGGTAGTTGAAGGAGAAGAATATTTGAGATCACATACAGTTAAGCGCAATTCTACCAAAGAAGGAAGCGTGCTTATCACCTCTACCCAATCCACTGCTTCGCTAAGGTTTACCCATGACATATCAAGGTGTTGTAATGAAAGAAGACTTGAAACCCAGTGTAAATTATCACCTCGTAGTTTTTTTTCAAAAGAATTCCCGCTCAAGTCCAGATAACGTACCATGGTGAGATTCCCTAGTTGATGAGGAATGGCTCCGCTGAATCCGGCATAATTCAGGTCAAGATACCTCAAATTTCCAATAGAACCAATGAAGCTAGGAATGTGAATCCCTCTAAAATAATTCCAGCTCAAGTCCAGATAACGTAACATGGTGAGATTTCCTAGTTGATGAGGAATGGCTCCGTTGAATCCGGCATCAGACATGCGAATCCCTCCAAAATAATTCCCGCTCAAGTCCAGAAAACGTATCATGGTGAGATTTCCTAGTTGATGAGGAATGGCTCCACTGAATCCGGCAGTAGACAGGTTGAGGTACCTCAAATTTCCAATAGAGCCAATGAAGCTAGGAAGACGAATCCCTCCAAAATAAATATGGCTCAAGTCCAGATAACGGAGGTGCTTCAAATCGAGCAAAGAAGGATTTATTTTACCTCCTAACTGGTAATAACTCCAGCAATCGTCATATTCAAAATGTTTTCCATTATAATGACAATCAGCATCACTATAATTATTAGGAAGGTGGATCTCAAGGACATGGCCAGTGAAGTTGTCGCAGACAACTCCGGACCATTGACAACAGTCGTCACCAGCCCAAGACGACAACCGGTTCGACTGCATATACCAGTAAACTCATATAAATCTGGTAGTCGATTGTTCAGAAAATTTAGAAAATCGACAAAGCATGATAAAGGATAGAATATCATGATAGTTGAGACTGAAGAAAATTCTTTTTAATTTGTTTCGTTTATGCCTATCAAAGCACGAAGGAGGATCGGAATCACACTCCATTATTAATTATCTATCTGCCAATACCTGCCTGAAGCAAGTTTTACGCTTAGCCGGGAGGCGGATGTCTGTCGCTCGCGGTGATGACGTTATTTTCCACTGTGACGTTTCATCGGAAGGGTCGTGTGAAAGTTTGAGGAATCTGATCGTCCTATTGGTTCGCATAGTATTATCTGGATAATTGGGGTTATTGAGTGGTTTTAGTCAGTGATATCCTTTGAACAGCCCCGCAATTTTTGTGCCAACTCATTCTTGAGAATTTGTCTAGTTGATGTTTGTGTCACCCTGTTAGACCGCTCTGCGTTTCTGTGTTTAGTCTTATATGCTACTTGTATAGTCATTTATGGTAGTTTCCGAATAAGCCCAGTGGCCTTGTTGGAATTATGCGTGGGTTCTTATGCTGTATTTGTGGTAAGGTTCTTTTTGATGATCATTTTTTAGGATGTTCGTGTGAGGGGAGTAATTTAAAAAATATACTAAAGTAATAAAAAGAAGAATAAAAGTATTCACAGATACTTTATCACACTCCCGTTCCAGACCTAAGATAAGTGGAAATGTATACCAGTGGACCAAACGTATTACACGGAATCAACGCTCCAAGTGGCAAGAACCTGACCTTTCGGGCCTCTTCTCCGGCCCCCCAAATGTCCAGGTCGAGAAAGATCAGTAGAGCCGCTCACCATGATGTCAGTTATACGGTCTGAGTGCACGGGATGCCATTGTCTTTACTCCCAACTGCCCTATCGCCCGCAAAACTCCGCTCGAGTACTTGCGACTCATAAGGACAGCCAAGGGTGCAATTTTTTCGGAATCTCCGAAGAAGAAACAACAGCAGGAAGCAGCTGCTGTGAATAAGGATGACAGGGGCTTTCATAGCCCTCGGACCCCCGAGTGACCCAATCCACTTGATGTAGTAGATCAGTCCAGCGTCCATAATAGAAGCGAATGTGATTAGCCCAAGAGAAGAGGGATAGTGGTATTGGTCTAGGGAAACTAGGTAGAGGGAGAACCCCCCAAAACAACAATCTGACCGGGTATCCGCTAGGCTCCTGAAACTGAAAAAGAGAATATGCTTGCAACTTTGACTGCTTAAAGAAGGGAAATGGAAGACGAAGGATTGAGGGAATACCTGGAAGGCGTGACTCTTGAAAGAAATGAATAATAAAATAACCTAATATAGAATGAACAGTAGCAAAGCGTAGAAACCCAAGAATAATGAAGCTGGAGGTCATACATCGGAGGTCTGACCTCCTGCTGACTCCCCCGGGCCGAGAGTTAGGGTCTCAGCATCTCTGGCCAAGGGCTGGAAGAGAGAGGTTGCACATCTCTTATTTGACAAAAAGAGTGGCGGATCCATGAGACTATCAGGAGGCCGAACACCGGTCGTCCCGTTACTCGGACTTGTTCTCTCCTTCGTGACCTGAATGCTTACGACCATCAAAAAGCGGAGACTCCTTACCAGGCCGACCAACAAGAAGTTATTGAAGCAGTTAGCTTAGGAGGGATCGAAATGACCATTCTTAATTACTTCCGGGGCACTTATCACGCCTTCCTCATTGCCACACCGTGGGTGTTAATGAGGATGTCGGTTAGTGCTCAGGGGTCAGTACGGCTCAGGGATACGGATCACTTAGCCATGAATACGCTCAAAGCCAACAGGGATCTGCAGACGATGCCACATAGGTGTTGGCTCTCCGAGGTCCTCAAAGGAGTGACTGGCCAAGTATAAGTGTGTGACTCGGTGCCACCGAACGATTCCATGGCTTCCAGCTAGCATCTTGTTGCGACGGATGGACTAGGGATCGAAGTTATTTCATGGACTCAATAGGCGGGCCTCTGAAGCCACTGACAGAAGCTCTTGTTCGAGAGAACATTCATCGACCCACTCTGAGCAACCAAAAGGATGGTTGGAGAAGGCCTTGAACACACTTGAGAGATTAACAAGGTATATTGGTAAATTCTACCGCCCCCCCGCTCAATCCGAAAGCGTAGCACGAGAAGGAGAAACTGAGGAGCCTCGTGTCCGAGTCAGTTCTCAGTGAGACATAATGGAGCCCCCTTCGAGAAATTAGAGAACAGTGAGTGGAGGTAGCCGCCGCAGAAGGGGGTCCTTCTGACCAAATTAAGGGATTTCCTCCACTCAGAGTGTCGGAGCGTACATCCCTCTCTTCATGAGAGCCGGTTCTATGACCCGGAGCTACGGGTTTGTTGTGTTTGTTGAGAGAATATGCTGAATAAACCGCGGTATAAGAATATTAAGAGTTGAACCGTATAAAATTCAGAATATTGTTACATGCAACATGATGGGTTCTCAAACAAACTATCACTTTCGGACGTCATCAACAATTCATATTCTGGTATCTTCAAGCTCACAATTTTAAACCAATGTGCATCTAATCACATATAGATTTTCGTCTTCTAGTTCATCAATATAGAGAGGTGCAATGTCATAGGTCGCGCTTCGATGATGAAGTCTCAAATCTAGGTACTATTTCTCAACGCATGATCTGACCCTATCGATTACACTATTAAAGTCTAAGTTTATCGGCTTCAAAATGTTTGGACAGAGTGAAGTGGTCCAGATAGTAAATTTCACGGCCGAGATACGTCGCACTCATATACATTGCTGTATCAAGTGCAAGATTTCAATAGGTCATTATGCAATATTACAGAATGTCCTTTCAATAAGTCCATATCTAAGTCTAGGGTTTTCTCTCCCAGTCAAAAATTGAGCTCAATACTAGTCACAATTATATTCGCTTTCTCGATAAAGGTCAACCAATTTGTCAAGCCAAGCACCTCAAAAGTTATCAAGTCTAGTGATGTCCAATATGCCAATCACGGGGTTGAGCTAAAAAAATATCATTGGATTGCCACAAAATTGGTCCATATTCAGATTCAGTTTTTATTTATTTATTTTTTATTTTATTTTCATCAGGATTGTCTGAGCCGCTCTTACCATTGCACAAAATATATGATATATATTTAAATATATTATATTCGGAAGAGGGTCGAACGTCAACTTACAATTTGGGCAGTTAGAGGGTGAAGTCGAAGCCTGATACTGGAAATTTAAGCTAAATAGAAGCTTTACAGACTGTAATCAATATAGACTGGCTAGCTTGGCAAGACCCACACGTCGTGAGAGGGCGAACGTGTGGTCAACGTCGGATTAGCGAAGCCGGAACAGCGATGTGGAGCTAGGTTGGCTAAGACCCCACACGTTGCGTTGAGAGGCGAACGTGCCAGTAGTCGACGTCGGACAAGCTGAAGCCGAAGCAGCGATGATTGCTCACAAGCAGGCTAATGTGGGTGAATCGCGAGCTCTAATAACAAAAATATATATATATATATATATATATGATTAATCAATAGTATATATATTATATATATTTGCCCAAGTTTGTCAAGGCAACAAGAAGAAGCAAAGAGCTTTGAGCAAAGATCAACTAGATCTTGAAGTCCAAGATCAATAAATCCAAAGCAATAGAATTGAACTTTGTTGAATCAAAGACCAAAACCCATCAATGAGGGGTTCAAAAATGGTTTTTCTCAGTTGCTTAATCACAGATTCAGTGGCCAGCATAGTGAGGAGCCGGGTATCAATCACAAACGGTGTAGGCGAGAAATGGCGCACAAGCAGTAGATGAGAAGGAGCTAGGCAAAACCGACGCCGCGGATCGAGCGACGCGGGTCGCAGTTTGATTAATCACGTTTAGACCATGGTGTGACATCAGTAGATGTGAAAGTAGGACCGAGCATTCTGTGTGTTCGGAGCTTTCTGAAAAACACGGCTGAAATGGACATCGCGATGAGTGGAGCTTGCATTGATACCGAGCTGGCCATGGGTTTGAGTCACTGTCATCGCTGTAATCTGGAACTGTTTACAACCAGCAGACAAGTGTACGGGAATGTCGAAGCGCAGATCGACGGGCTGTCGTGGCGCTCCCGGACAGCCGAGGACGGCAGTAAAGTTACAGTAGAAGGATGTTTCTGGTTTCATGGTGGCTTCACCGTGACGAGATATCTCTGTCAGCAAGCATCGTCTCACAGTGCCGTCTATAGCAGCGTCTGTGCAGCCTGGCGCACAACGTCTAAACATAGCTAGCAAACCGTGGCTTCATCTTCGGCCAGATGACACGCGCTCGTAGTTGCACAAAAAGCAAGATGAGCCGCGGTGCCCTGTGTATACAGATACGAGCTCCTTTTGAAAGAATTATGAAGTTTGGGTGTCTGGTTTGAGAGAAATGTATGCCACTGGTTTCCAAAAAAAAAAAAGGAATAGAGGAAGAGAAGGTGATCGGTCTGGGTTCTGACAAAAGAAAAGTTTGAGGCTTAGGGTTGTGACACCTTTGTTAAAATAGAAAAAAAGGTGTGATATATGAAAAATGCCACATATATCGAACTACTATTATGCATATATATAGAGACAACTTATTTCCAAGGCCCAAAAAAAAAAAAACAAAAAATGATTTTTCTTAATTCTTATTTCTTTTTACTTGGAGTAAAAAAAAAAAGTTTGTGATTTTCAATACTTGAAAAAAAAAATAAAAATTTGTTGTCAAATTTTTTCTGTAATTGAAGTGCGCATTTCAACTTATCTCATAGGCATCTGTCGTGTTTTTTTTTTCTTTTTTTTGGGAACGTGCATGCGATAACAGCTGTTCGAAGAAATGACAGATTGCATGTCTGAGAAATTTTCTAATAATTTTCTCATACACGCAAGTGGCAACATGTAAAGATGGGCTAATATTTGGACCATCTACAATTATTTAGCCCAATAGACCATAGATTAGGGGCCCGAATTTATCGCCAGTCCAAGATGGCGGCCC